ACCTGAAGTGAACTGAATTAAATCAACAGCTCACTGGGACACTGTTTGACTCCAGCAAACACTGACACTGTCTCTCTGTGACTGTAACCACGCACGTCTTCATCACCTCTCTGTACGAGTATCTGTGTGATGTCTTTATTGCCCCACCTCTGTTCTCTGATTAGGGTTTCATCTATTGTCTTTTTAAGAGAAAAACAAATTATAAGCGCATCTAGAAACAATTTTTAAGATGCATGCATCCAGCCAAACACTTGTCTGTACTCGGGCGAGACTTGAGAATGGATGCTTAAAAAGCATTCCGATGTTCAAAGACCCAGAATTCTCCTGTGGAAATAAGGCTGACGTGCTTGGAAGGAATTCTACTGTCAATTAACTGCTTTAGCAACTGAGCATATCAAATATCTCAGCTGCTAAAGCACTTCATTACTGATTACTATTTTTGCTAAAAATGGAGTTGGAAATAAGTCTAGAGACAAACCAGAACAGGAGATAGGAAATGTGTTTTGATTGGTTCAGTAATGAAACTATGTGAAAAATATAGACATAAACCCCCTAGATCAAATTAATTTTACACATACCGCCCAAAAGTGGGCCAGACCTGTGAAAATCCCATTTCTTGCAGTGTGAAGCAGTTTGTCTGCACATTTAGTCCCTGACATATCTCAATATAAGAAGGAAACAAAAGTGCAATTTCAACAGCGTCTCTCACTATGTGATATCACTACATGATAAAGAAATGATGCTGTAGTAAATAAAAGGACTCTGTCTGCATGACTGTTGGCTTGAATTGTATGAAATAAATGCGCAACATTAGAGAAGTTTAGTTAATTTTGAATATTCCCTATTTTATTTATTTATTTATGTCTTTAACTGGATACATTGTAAAAAACAGACACTGATAAAGTAGAGACTGAAACAAAAGGAACTAATTGCTTATCTGTTAATTCATTACTCTAATGTGAATGACTGTGTGCGAGGTGCTTATCAGTAGTAAAATCCTGATGGAGTCCAAAATGTATGCCCTCCTTCACATTTTCCAGCGGTGTCCATTGGCCCAGATAGGAGCCTTCGCTGGCACCTACTGTTTGACCACCTGCTCCACTCCTGCTAAACAGGTGAAAATATATTCGACAGGACTCAGTGCCGAGTCTTTGATTTTATTTATTTTCTGCTGTGTTTTACTTGCATCTATTTGAAAGAGTGAGTGTAAACACAAAACAATATTTTATTTTATATGCTGGACTATGCAGAAAATAGGTTTAAATGTTAAACGAATTTCTTCAAGTCAAAGACTGTTGCATATAATTACATTTTTGCTTGATGCAATGTGCATAAAGTTAAAGGATCAAAACTAATAAAACAAGTTTTAAAAAGAGACTTTTTCATTTGATTACATTTTATATGATGGAAAATGAAAGGTGTATTGTTTTATTACCTATTGAAGTTGTGTATCATGTTTTTTAAAAGTAACTAAGTAACTAATTACTTTTGAAAATAAGTAATCAGTATCAACTGGATTACTTTTTTGGAGAAGTAATCAGTAATTAGTTACTAATTACTTTTTTCAAGTAACTTGACCAACACATTCATGAACATTTGAACTCTGTGCCTCTGGGAGGCCGATGCTCCCACAGAAGAAAACACGATTGGACCTTAAAACAGACTGCTTGTAAAGAACAAGTTTGTTTCTGAGTGTGCATTTTTAAAACTAATGCAAAAAATGTGACTCCAGTTTTTATACTTTGAGTGGTTATTTTTTATTATTACTCTCAGTTTTTTTGCAGTATTTGTATATTTGAACATTCAGTGTTTTGGTTTTTATTTAACTTTATGTTGCTTTTAATTCAGTGTTTCTATGCTGTGTGGTGTCTTGTAATGCACTTCATAGGTCTTGTATTTTAAATGTATTATATAAATTATATAAATTATTAAGGTTGTTACTACTCATGTTTAAGGCAAACAACTATTGATACGTTGTAAAAATATAAAATAAATACGAAATATGACTACAGTGTAGTTGCACTACGATATGATTATTTAAGGACTACATCTTTGCATGATTCATACATACACGCAAACACCAGATGTTCTTGCAGACCCTCATTTATCTATAAGGCCAACCACCCTTTAAGCCAACTTTCTTCTGATTGGTTACCTCGCGCACATCATGTTTCTGTGGAGCCTTGTATATGAAAAGACTAATCTAATCAAAGTGTTTTAGTTGTCAGTTAGACAGACAGTTCTTTTTATCCCTGTAGGTAAATATTTTCTGTGGTACAGCAGGTCCTATGAGTAGCCACACATGTCCCGGTCTCACCTGCGATAAACAGTGATGCATTACGGCTGGTGTCCTTCCCCGCACTGTTCCTAGCCACACAGGTATAGACACCCTCATGCGACTGCCCCTGTCTTCCCCCTTCCACGCTCAGAAAGAAGAGGCTCCCGTCTGAAAGGATCATCGGCTGCAGCTGGCCATCTCTCTTTGCGGTCTCTAGTGGCTGATTGTTGCGTAGCCACTCAATAGTTGGCTTTGGGCTTCCGTCGGCGCGACAGGAGAGGGTGGCGGGATTGCCAACTTTCACCACCACATCAGAGGGGTGGTGGACAATGCGGGGAGGTCTCTCTTCTGCTCGAACCTTGGAACCTGAGGAGGATAAAGAGAGAATCGGTTAAGCAATGCTGCTCACGTTAGCTTTGATTTCCTGATTTTGTTTCTGTGTGTTTCACAACAGGAGATTTGGTGTACAGCACTTTTCTCTGTAAGAAGCAAATCTCAGCCCTACACATCGCCACCCCTGAGTTCCAGCCACTAACAAAACCCACAACAAACAAACGTATGCTCTGCTACCAACAAACAATGTGTATTTGCAGCCAGTCGCAATGGAATGCCATTGTTTGAGCTTCCCATGGGACTGGATACCCAAAGACGGTGCACAGATGGTGATCAGCTTCCTGACAGGAGCGGAAGTCAGAGGTTCTCAGGAACAGCCAGGCCAACAAAAGCTGACGGGAACTCCCTCATCAACGGGACATCCGCCACAGAACAAAAGACCATCTTCAAGAGACACTTACCACTCACTTTTGAAAACTTAAAATGTGGGAAGAAACAAAGTCCTACAAGCGTGTTAAATTACATCATTAAATCATCTTAGGTTAGCAAGGTTTGGGAAGGCAAGTTACAGCACAGACGCTGCTTCTTATTTAACTTAAAAACACATGCTTTCAATGTAATTTATACCAGCTGTGTTTAAAGAAAATAATCAGAAAAACAAGAAACTGAATTCACATCTAAACTGAATATTATCTTAATCTGACCCAACATTTTGGGAGTCTGAAATGGGAAAGGACAATCAACAAAACAGCTCTTGTCCCTCTTGAGCTGTTCTTTCATTTACTATAGGCGGAAATGCCTTCCCATTACAGCTAACAATAAGCTGTCCAACCTCATTGTCACTGTGTCCTTTCACATTCAGAGCAAAGGGAGGATGCAGTCAAAATACCAGCATGTCATGGTCAAAACACTCTCAGGACATTTCTAAAATGCTTTATTCTTGGGAGGTAGGTTGTAATCAGGACGCTCCTGAACGTCACCAACATTTCCATTCAAACAAGCTGCACAAGCTGGGGAACAAATTATGAATTTATAAACTGTTAGAGGTTTACCCAAAGATCAGCTGGCAACAGATGCATTATAATTGTAACTATATTTAAAAAACAAATCCATTCGGCTCATGCGGCAGAAGCACAATGCAGACAGGATGTGGAAATTACACAACATCCATACATATATGTACACTTCAAACTGGTGAGTAACTTGAGACCATAAACTCATCAGGAGAGGTCACACAACAAATCGGCCGAAAGATCATTTTCCGTTACACTTCTTTGTGGAACTGGTCTGTGTGGCCTGTTAGTGACTTTGACACATTAATTGTCTTACAGTTTTTTACAGTTTATCTGTGCATTGGTGAAGCTGCTAAAATTAAAGCAAGTGGATCCTGAACACAGACCCGCAGCAGTATTAAAAACATCCCCCTCAAAACTCTACGTTAGGTCTTTTTAGTCTTTTCATTTCATGTCAAGGATTCAAAGTAACACATTACAGTTAAAAGGCATGCTCATCTTTTCTAACACAGGTTGTTTAGTTGACAGGAAGAGTTCCAACAGTACTTACCGAGGAGGAGAACTCCAAACACGGGTAGAAATATGTTCTCCAAATAACTTCTGCTCATCATTCTGAGCAGCCAAGTCAACAACCAGGATACTTTCTTCTGATATTTAATTTAAAGCTAACCTGTTACGTAGCATTTACGCCTCATTTTCACAAAATTGTCATTTGAGGGTTTTTTTGTTGTTGTTGTTGTTGTTGTTTGTTTTAAAGTTACAGCATCTATATATATATATATCTTAAACTTAATTACTGCTCTATAACGATTACTCCCTCGCAGTCCCAACTCCACACAGCTGGGAGGTGCAGTGAAATTTAGCTTCCTGATGGAATGGTTTTCAAAATAAAACCACGGAAGGTCTCGAGGCACAAGGCTCGATCGTCCCTGAAAGTTGATTCTGTTCACCGGGACATTCCGTTTTCGGTGAACAGAATCAACTTCCTGGGAAGACCACGAAAAAACCCGCAATGTTAGTATAGAAATTATAATTAGTGTAGAAATAAATATTATTATTATTATTATTGTTATTATTATTATTATTATTATTATTATTTGGAAATAAATAATACATTTATTTGCTTTATTGCATAAAACTGCATTCTATTAGTGATTTTAATTGATGTGATTTTAATTTGTAGTCAAAATGGCAAGGTTTGTTTCCGCTTTTCTGACCACAGAAAGTTAAACGCTACATTATATGAAGCAAACTACTATCTAGATTAATGAATCTGTGTCCCCTGTGTTTATGTTATAGTAAGTTCTTTTCTCTCGTTGTATCTATTGAAGATACTTTGCAAGAAATTCAGGGTAAAAAGAAGTCAGGGTTTGCCACATGTCATCGTGGAAGAAACGTTTCATTACTACAGCCAAATGTAAATCGCATAACACTATCAGAAATACCTGAGACCAGCAACGCTCTTTGGATTTTTACATGTCACAATATTACAGAATATAACCAGCTATTGAACAAAGAAAAGTAATGAATAAATGAAAAGCATGTCGAATTAAAATATATTTGCCAGTGATTCTCACAGCACTAATTTATATTCTGTGGATTCAATTTTAAAAGAAATAGAATAAAAGAAAATACATTTCTGATGACCACTGTAAACACTGCTATAAACAAACAAGCAAAACTTCACACTAATATTAATATCAATTTCAACAGTAGAGTTTGGTTTTGCCTTTAAATATTGTATTTAAAGTTTAATCAAAGGAACGGAGGAGAATGTATTACATTTTCTATTTAATCATGAGCTGTTGTCGATTTTCGGCTTTTGTGCTAGCACTCCTATGAGGCAGGAAGTTCCGAATCTCTCCATGTTTTTATTTAACAATAGAAGGAAACTGTATATCTGCTCCTCATTCATTGTGTCCAGCAATTCAGCTTGAAGGCTTTGTCACAGTAGGTTTTACTATAGCTTTTTGTAGATATCTTAAATTACTGAACTAAAAACAGGTTAGAGATTTTGTACAAATATACAAAAAATTGAGTTTTTGATTATAAAAAAAACCCATGCCATATAAGAATAAGTTCTACTACATCTCCTAAAGACAGAAAACAGTCCTGATGCTGAGTTACTTCCAAGTTTCCACAGTGAGGACAACTCCCAAATAAATGGACTACCACTAGTTCATTCTTTCTAATGGCGCACATAAATAAAGCATTGTGTAGTGAACTGTGCATTGTGAAGGTCAGAAAGGCCCGGGGCTAAGTGATGGATGTTTATATTGATCCAACAACTTAGGCTGGATGGCCTCGGCATCGGCAAGCTTTCAGCCTACAACAAAGGCTTTAGAGAGGATGAAGGATGAGTCGCCCTGCAAAAACACAGCCCATGGGAATGGTGCTGGGACCAAGATGTGCGGAGGGAAGGGACCTCTTTCAGGCTGTAGACCAAAAGGTCAGAAAAGGTGTTGGAAATGAGGAAAAGAGGGTGGGAAGGCATTAGAAAAAAGAAAGAATGTGTCAGCTGTAGTGAGGAATGTGACAAAATGTGACTTCAGAGTAAATTCGCTTGTAAAGGAATTAACAATCACTGTCAACACAAAAGGCTGAATTAACTTCATTTAACCCAAAATAGGTTGTCTTTTTTGGCGGCTTAAGATAATAATTAAAGACTGAAGACAACAACTTAATACACTTAATAAATCTGAGCTGATGTAACTACTATGAAGAAAAAATATAGATGAGACTTTATTACATACAGCCAATGTGTTTTCTCTTTGATGAGACTTACTTTTAAACATAATTGTGAACTGACTTTTTTGCTGTGACATATATAGTACACACTAAAAATTTTAAATGTGTTTTGTTTAGTAAAACAGTTAGATTTAAGTAAACATTGGATTACATTTACAGTTACATTACTTTATCTGGTCATTAACTTGATGCATTTATAGATCTAGAGTTTAAAATGTTAAAAAAAAAAGAGTAAAAAAGTAAACATTTTGAAGAAAAGTTATGATGACTTTTGATTTTCAGTACTTACACTTTATGTAACAAGGATGCAAAAGGCAATGTTAGTAACATAGAGGACATTTATCTGTTTTAAAATCACAAATTTAGTTGCAGCTCTAAGCCTGTCAGATGCGCTACGTGCCAGCCTATAAGGTGCTGTCATCTACCTTCTCACTTAAAGGTCTTGCACGAAAAGTTTCAGCTCTTCTGCAGCAGAGTGCTGTCTGTCAGCTCTGTGAGTTTAGCACTCACCTTTTCTCCGGTGTGCCCTGTTCCTGTGAGGTGTGTGCTGGTGTCCCCCACTGTGATGAGCACGCTCCTTGAACAGGGTCTTTGACCTCTTGTCTAAACCTGGCTCTGCCGGCACAATGCCATGGCACTTGCACCACTTGGAGTACTCTGCACAGGTGCAGAACCAGGACACCCAGAGGAGCCACACACAGACACGCATCTTCATGCTACGGGTCCAGGATGCTATTCCCCAACTCCTTACTGTGGTTCGGCTGTATCAACCATCCCCTCAGTCTACTCTCTACCGTGGCACTCCACAGACATTCAACATGTGACCTATCTTACGCCCCACTTCTTATTTGGAGATTTATGTTTCTCCATATTCCTCAGCTCCTCTTCCCTCCCTTCTTACTCTGGTTGCTCTCACTCTCTCCCTCCTCTTTGGTCTCCACCCCCCCACCCCCACCCCCTCTGAGTAGTAAGAAATTGGGAGATGTGGGGTTGGGTTGGGGGCAAACAATGATAAAAAAAAACAAGTTTCAGACCTCATGCTGAGCACATAGTGAGGAGAAGGGGACCAGGGGGTACTGTCTTGGGATAAAGAGGGAACAGAAAACAGGGCTCAGTGTAGGGCAGGAAGGAGGGGAGAGAAAGATGAAATAAGTGGGAGGTAACAGAGTGAGGCCTGTGTTCGCTAAGTCAGGTCACTTTCATTAATCAAATGTCTACCTACTGACTGATGAAATGCAGCGTAACAGTGTCTAAATATGGAGATCATCTCATAAACAGAATAACTGGACCTATTTTGATCATTCTGAAGCTGAGGCTTATAACTTTCAGAAAATGCACAAGAACAGACAGAAAGTTATTTCATTTTGTCAGATATTAGAGGAACCTTTATTTGGACTGCTCAAAGGCACATCTGAAATATTATTTTAAGTTCACATGCTCAATTGTGAATTATAACACCAGAGGAATGCTGCATCGCTTGACAAACAATAGCTTAAAAAAGGACAAAATGGGTACAAAGGCTCCTTTTTCTCTCACTGCTTTGCTTTAAAGTGACACTCCCCCCTCCCAAACACACACACACACACACACACACACACACACACACACACACATCCCATACCACCATCAACACCACCGTACACTCCCTACCCAACCTCCCACCAGCCAAGTAGCCAAGCAAATTTGTAGCTGCCTGTCTGCACAGTATGAGTCTCATACATCATCTTGGCTCGCCCACAAGAGGCAAACAAAAGTACCAAGTCAACCTTGTCAGAATGTTCTGCTTGCAATTCAAACGCAGTCAGTTCGCCTGCTTTGAGTGGCCTCCCAGAGTGCACAAAGAATACACTCCTGATTTGATTTGCATTACATCAACCTATCAACAAAAACAAATGGGCTTCCAAACAGAGAAGCACAGATAGGTAGCAGCTTGGGCCATTTTTTCCTGCTCTGTACCAGTTCCTTTCAGTATGTCTGTAATTTGTGACAAACAAATCTCAAATTGTGACCAAACTCAGACATATTCAGTGTATTTATCTAATGCCTGTGATGGGCCTTTCACTGCCTATGCACAAGTCTAAAAATACTGCGTGAATAAAAATAAAGAATTTTGCCAGAAGGCTGGTTATAATTAATTTCAAGTTGACTGGAAACTCTGCTCTCCGTCAGATCCAGACTGCACTGTACAAGTGCACTTGTCACTTGTGTTTCCCACAGAAAAAAGTTATCTTTATACTTTCTGTTACGACCAATCATACATTGCATAGAAACACCAGAATTACTGGGAATTGCAACATCTTTCTGATGTGCGTTTTGTTGGCCTTCACATCAATCACCACCTCTATCCTGACAAATATGTTCATTTCTGGCTTTAAAAAACATCCCAAAAAGTCAAGTTGAAGGATCAAAGGTTGTTTTGTGGCTAAAAATTGTTCCTATAGTACAAAAAAAAATATTTTTAAATGCCACAAACCCTGGAATATTGGAATATGTGTGCCACAAGGCAGTTAAAAACTTAAAGCTGGCTATATATAGCCAACAGAATGGAGACTGAAGAAGTCACTCAGGTGAGTGATGAAACATTTCTCCCACTGAAAACACCAAGTCCAGATGAACACAATCAACTTTTTGGGATCACTTCTAAAGATCTAGATAAATTCAAACATAGGTGACTTTGGTAACAGCTAAGCATGTTCTGTGCAATACCAAGGCCACCCACGTGGCCTTTGATCTCTGTAGCCATTGCCTTTCTACACCCAACTAATATTCAATAAGGTCTTCAGCACTGTCAGAATGGAAAATAGGCCAAGCTTTGGCCCTCAATGAGATGTCATGTCCAAACAGCAGAGGGCTGTTCGTGGGCAACCTGACCCCCAATTTGGGCCACCATCCACTTACCAAAGGAAAGAGCTATGCATTAATTCATTCCTGAGCAAGAGGTAAAAGGCTAAGTCCACACTAGGATCTCAGTTTGAGGATTTTGCCCCCCTAGTGTGTATTGCAATTATAGCATCCCCTAGCGATATACAAAAGTGCACAATAGAGCACAACCAGGCAGAGCTGAGAAAAAAAAGCCCTCTTCTTGGCCCCAAAACGGCATAGTTTGTTGCTTGGGCGACAAGGCTTTGGTTCATTTTCACATTCTATCACAAACTCTCTCATACCTCAGTGAAAGCCTCAGACAGTGAACTCTAGTGTCTTCAACAGACACTGCCAGACACCCATGTTGGCTAATCAGTCCTTATCTAATTCAAGACTTTATAAGGACTTAAAATGACCCTGCTCGTGTTTCCCTTCGAAAGACTCATCAGGTTTTATTTACCAAACTTGCTGAAAGGATAGCAAACATTGCCACCTGCTTGATTTAACACGAACTGAATGTCATTCTTTTGGGATAAGTGCATCAACTTTGCCTGAAATCTTTAATGGATTGTGAGTGTTGTGGGAGCTAGGTGGGGTGGTGACAGTGTCCATATCACAAACAAAGATGGCTAAGGATGTGAAGGGCAAGCCAGAAGTTCTGCTTGAGTGCATCTAAATGCAGGATCTACCCTAAGGAGAGCAACCAGCCCCTCTGCAGTTTCAAAACCATGCTCACACCTCTTTGCCCTTGCATAGCTTTCTCTTTCTGTATCTCTCCCACCCCCCATCTCTTTATATGTCCAGCTGGCTGCGCCACAAAGACTGCATCTCCCAGCTCCAAATGATCCTTAAACCCCCACATCCTTTGTTCTGCTCATTTTCCCACTCCCCAGAGATGGAGTTTAACAGCAAAAATTAAAATGAGGAAAGGATAGAGGATAGAGAAAGATTAAAAAGGTGAGGTAGAGTGAGAGGGTGTGTGAAAATGAGAGCCAGGGAATACTGGCTTCTTCAAGGCCCAGACTTCAGGGAATGTAAAACCTTGAGCGTGGAGGCTGCAAAGGCAGTGAGGAATTGGTGCAAATACCTTTTGCATTATGACCTTGAAACAGAAACTGCAGCGGAATATTCTCAAAAAGACCATTCTGTTGATAAGTAAAAGGAACAGATCCAAAAAGTTTTCAATCAAGTTAAAGTGAAGGTCTTTGCCAGCTAAGCCTCTTCTTCAATTTCACTGCTTTTAAAGACACTCAGTGGCACTTTCTACTGGGGCTAAGATCATGTTTTGCGGTATTCATGCGGTCAATTACAGCCAACAAGTCCCTCCAGGTTGAAAAGATTTCGGATCCCTTACCCCACCGTGATGAAATCCCCCCAGTTCCCCAGGTTGTGCGAAATCATGCAGTGGATTGTCATGCAGAAAAAGGACCATAGTATGGAGATGTGGGCTGGAACTAATAGGATTGGTTTTGATTCATTAGATTCTCTTTCATCGGCCTGGTTGGAATTCCACTCCACGTCTCCTCAGGCTTCACACTTTTAAAATGGAGGCGGGAGGGGGGTAAGTGTTTATAATTGAGCCTCTGGACTGCAAAAGCTCATTACTCTATGGAATCATCCGCTTATTGCGACCCTGTGGAATTGTGTGAATGCATCCCCCTGTTCTTCAATGTACTGACAACACTTTACACGATATGATATGATTGACTTATCCAACACTTACATTTAAATGGGTATTTAGAAAATCTTAGTCTAGAAGAGTATCATTGCTATCCTCAACAGCTAATCTCCAAGAGCGTGTCTTGAGTCTTTTTTTCCTAACCCAACTTTCTTTAATGTTTGTTTGACATCAGAGCACTCAGTCCACGTCTGTGGTCACTAGACACTGCTGCAGCAAAATCCTCCAACAACCAGCCTGCATCACGATCAGTTCTTCACTGCAAAAAACGATTTTCAATAAAGTAAAAAAACCCTTGTTTATGGACATTTTTTCTTATTTTTTGCCTAAAAAGAAAATATATTCTTAACAAGCAAGTTTTGGACAAGAAAATAAAGCTTATTCTAGGAAAATATGTCTAACTTTTCCTTAAAAGGATATTTCAGCTCACCTTGAGCCTTATTTACCAGTTACAAGTCATGACAATGGTTTGGTTGAATTTCCAGAATAAAAATAAGATTATTTTTCTCATTTCAAGAGTAAGGGCACTTAAACAGCTGCTCAGTTTAAGAAATGTATTTATTGACACTAAAGTTTAATATAATTGCTGTCAAGTTTGACACAATATGGTGTTCCCTGATAGCTGGGCAAGCTTATGTTCAGCAACTGCTGCTAGGTTAAAGTAAACCCAACTGGCCTGTTTTACAGGCAAAAAAAGCTCCGCCTAATATAGTTACAAGTTTATGTTTTGCATTGCGAAGTCTAATTATAGTTTGCCTTGTCCTATTTAAGCTTTTTCAACTGTCCAATTTAGGAACGCTTCTCTGGAAAACACAAGTCATATTACGCCAGTATACATTTGAGCTTTAAAGCAAAAGAACAAAATGCAAAAATAATCCACACAGTACTTTTTCAATTGCCAAATATATACATGAAACTGTCTTTGTGTTTTCATGACAGTGTCAGACCATGAGACTGGGATAAATTCAGTGGAACTAAATAAACCAAGAAGATGTAGGCTACAAAAATGGTCGATGCATCGAACTAAAAATGTATCCGGTCCAGAAATATTATTGACAATACAAAACAAAGGCATACTGAATAATTTCGTGACAAATCCATGACTTCTTTTCTGGTTATCAGTCAAATTATAGACTTTTTTTTTTACTGGCACCACATGAATCAGATTCTGTAAAAACAAGCTAAATAATGTGGTATATCAACAGTCGGTCTGTTTGAAGAACTTCCAGCTTCAGGCAGCTGTAAATGGCAGATTGTGTAAAATATGTCGAGAAGTTTAATGAGCAATTTTCACTCTGGGCTAAATGTGCATCATGTACCATCACAATTATCAGTTACGGTAACTGATAATTGGGTGTAAAGAGGTGTAAATAAAAAA